GGTTCACTACTAGGTTGGAGCTAGGTAACTAGGTAAAAAGGTACATTTAGCTAGATCCATCAAGTGAATAACCGCCCGGTTACGTGTGCGTTGGAGCTAGATCCACTCCATAGAGAATTTTTGCTTGGGAAAAAACGAGCAAATAATATTCATTCAGTTCTGTCCATTGGTTTCAGTTTCTTTAACGTATGGTTGATCTATATGAAGTTGTCTATGATTTGAAAGTTAATAAATTTAACTTGAGCTAATCTCAAAATTATTGAATCAAAAAAGAAAAATGAATATTTCTGCTAAGTTTAACCCTTTCGCGGCGATGTGGCTCACCGGTGGACCACACTTTGCATTTCATGTTTTAATCTCAAAATACGTTTGATTAAAAAAAAACATATACCATAAGATGCAGCGTGAAAAGCTTTACAATTACCATAATCAAGTTTATCTTAATTGTGTAGTTTTTGTTTTCAAAGAAAGTAAAACTCTACGTGACTAGTGTTCGAGGTTGCGACGCGGTCATTTTTTCTGCATAAATGTGAAATTCCATTTTTCTAATTTCATCCTTTTATCACCTGATATGATTTCGTAAGAAGAAACAGAATATAGCACGAGATGCAGCGTGAAAAGTTCTACAATCTAAATTGTGAAGCTTATTTCAAGTGTATACGTTTTGTCTTTAAAAAAGCAAAATGATGTGAAATGAATTTTCGCAACCTCGATAATTAGTCGCACAGTATTTTGTTATGTTTGAAGGCGAAATGCAAACAATTGAAAGCAGCCTTAAGATGTAGATTGTAGAAATTTTTACGCTGCATCTTGTGCTATATTTCGTTCTTTAATAGAACGCATTTAAACATGTTGATTTCTATGAAGACCGAATCGCCGTGAAAGGGTTTTTTCTGTCAACTTTCCTCATGAAAATATACCGGAGCCACCGGTGGCTCACATCGCCTCGACTGTGTTAATTGAGCGATTTTGAAAATTTGCATATGATGCATTACATTAATGTCCAGGAAAGCGATATGTTTTTGGGCATTGACATTTCCGGAAAGTGAATGCAGTTTTCCTACGAGACCGTACACACTATGGTAACTGAGAACACTTTTTTTAGTGAACATACTAGTTATAATGAACCTAATAGGCATGATGACTATAATGGACACAATAGGCATAATTAGCATAATCCATATGACGCATTATAACGGGTGGCCCATAAATAATGGCACTGTTAGTATTTTCAGCTTTTCTCCTCTTGTCTCGAATCATTTCAGACATGCTTTTTTATCAAAAGATGCAGCTTGAAATTTCCTACAAAACAATATATGAGTGAAAGTAAATTGTCTCTTAAGACAGTTTCCTGAGCTTAAAGCATGATTGCATTCACAAATCAACCAGAATGTAAACTACTGATGAATCGAACAATACTGCAATCACGGTGCATGTCTCATTTTCTTTCTACGTAGCAATTGAAAGCAAGGTGATCTTCTTTTTCGACTTTCTTCGTTCATATCTATGAAGGAGAGTATATTTCGACGAACAAACACCATTGATTCCATGTTGAACAATACATTGTGATAAGACAAGAGTGATGTCCAGTTTGAAACAAGATTCATTTATTCCCCAAGATCGTTCTTCTGCTGTCTCACTCATCAAATCTTAATGTAAGCTTCTTCGACAATACCGTCCGAGATTCTTTCGAATCAAAACAGTTTCGAGATTCTTTCGAATAACAGATATCATCTGCAATGGTCTTACTTTTTCACGGAAAGTTTACATTAAGATTTGATGAGTGAGACAGCAGAAAAACGATCTTGAGGAATAAATGACTCCTTCATAGATATGAACGAAGGAACTCAAAAAAGAAGATCACCTTGCTTTCGATTGCTACGTAGAAAGAAAATGAGACATGCACCGTGATTGCAGTATTGTTCGATTCATCAGTAGTTTACATTCTGGTTGATTTGTGAATGCAATCATGCTTTAAGCTTAGGAAACTGTCTTAAGAGACAATTTACTTTCACTCATATACTGTTTTGTAGGAAATTTCAAGCTGCATCTTTTGATAAAAAAGCATGTCTGAAATGATTCGAGACAAGAGGAGAAAAGCTGAAAATACTAACAGTGCCATTATTTATGGGCCACCCGTTAGAAATTTCTTGAAAATTCATCAGTGGAAAATCGGAAAATAATTTTCCGGAAATTGAATTAAATTTCACATAAGGCATCTCTCTCTCTGAGGGTGAGGTCCGAAAGACAGTAACCCGCCCCCCCCCTTCTAATAAGGGGGAAAATTTTCAAACTCATGGTCGCTCGAAAATTCGATCAAAATGTGAAGTGTTAGGACACTGATTCATTTTCGAACTCACTTTCTTTATAACGCTAAATTCGTTCCCATGTTGACCGTCTCTTGTCCGTCTTCCTCAACAGTTGACACCACTTCAAGAGAATCACCTTCCGATTCACCAGATAAATCTTCAGCACTTTCATGGTCAACCAGGAGGAGTCTCTGTAATTTCGCCAACAGTACTTTCGCGAATGGGCGAAACTCACCATGAATTTCGCCAATATAATCCATTAAGATGACATGTCAGTTCGCCAATTGGCGAAGTTACCAGTTGGCGAAAAGATTTTACTCCGCCAGGAGCAACAAGTGCACTTCACTCGTCACCCTGAGCAACACATGTGTTATTTAGTCAAGTTTTCCTCTGGCCAAGAGCAAAAAACATTTTCTTGTTCTCTTATGGATCAGAGCATTTTCCCTTTTCGTTCTACAAATACAAGGCATTCTTACCAAAGAGTGAAGAAAGGAAATATTTTACCATAGTCACTCGTCGAGGCATTGGTGTATAAGTCAAGAGCGGTATTTTCTTTAACCAAGAACTTCTTGGCCTCTGAATTCATTATTCGAGCTTTAGCAAAGAATCATCTAGTGGAATCAGGAGGTCTTCTAATCGGTGTTTTGAAACATTTGTTCTAAGGGTCTTCTAACTAGGGGTAGTCTTCTAATGTGGGGAGGGGTTTATATGATGCTCGATATGCATTTCCAGGAAATCATCGTGATTTGGAAAACGGATGGATGTCCTGAAAACGAAAATGAACTTCTGGAAATGGAGATAAATTCACGGAAAGAAAAGATGAGTTTCCGCAATCATGAATAAAGGAGGGAGGACGATGAGAGTCAAAATCGGCCCTCGTCAGAAATCGATTTTTCACATTCAGCTTTGTTGTTTCAGTTAAGAAAAGTTGTTTTATATTAAAATTAGTCGGTTATACCCAATTTAAGCTGTGTTCAAAGCTGTTAAGTCTCATCAATAATAGCTAGCGTATATAATCTAGAAATATGCATGATTATACAGACCTTTGTCGACAATATCTCACAATATCTTACTTTTCCATTCGCTGTATCAGGTGGTTTTGTGTATCAAAACCAAGCTTGTTCCATCTAATTATACAAAAATATGTGGAAAAAAAGTGCGAGAGTATACCATTTCCTCGAAATACCGAGAAAAATCTCATATAATAAGGCCTTTTCGACTAGGACATTGACTAGGATGTAGTACAGATGTTATTGATAGTGAAACTATACGGATCCAAGCTGAATCATAGTTCACTAGCGGAGTTACCCGATGAAGAGTGAGTCGCCTTGAGCTTCTGCATCTTCAACAGAATTTTTCCCCGCCGTGCATAAATTGACACGCTTAGTCACATTCGCTCTACTATATGAGCATTTAGTCTATAGCTTGTAAATCTGCTGTCTTTCTCTCTACTCATCACCGTTTCTATCGCATACGTCTGTGCTCGTTGTGAAAAAGTCGGAGAAGGAGACTGACGATCGTATCTTACACTCCGACCTGTCTGACAAAAAGACACAGCTGCAGTTTGGTCAAGCCTGTGTGAAATGCTACCCACCGCAGTTAGCCGCATGGATCCACCTCGACCTTCCAATGGATCAAGTAAACCTGAATTGAGATTTGGGGATACTTGTCATGAGAGGGATGAAATGCACCAGGAGGACAGAGATGCAGCGTCCATTACCTGGGTGACAGTTCATCCAGGTCGCCTTCGTTCCCCGTTGTTTGTGGCGCTAACTTCCACTCGATCTCCCTTGAGGGCAGAGGATGTGTCCTGAAAAGTTCGATGACCATAGCTGCTATCGAGATCAAATACAAAAAGAGTGAACGAAAATCATCAGCATCTTTAGGAGATAGTTCTTTTCTTGATGCTTTAGTAATTAATTGCTCACTAATTCTTTCGATTTTCGTTTTTAAATCTTGTAACTTATCTACTTCTGATGTTGATGATAAAATATCTTTAAATTTCAAATTTATCGCTCTTAATATTTCGATTGTTCTCATTAAATTACTAAAAAATTCTTCACGTTTTATTTCGAATTTTGTTGTCTCATCACTCAACATGTAATTGAGCCTTTAGTCGAATTACCATTTTTTCAAGTTCAGAAATCATACCTGTGTATGAAATAATTCTTTGTATTTTTTCCAACAAGTTTTTTACTAAGTTATGTTTCAATGGACATTGACTAATACTTTGTAAAAGTTTGTCCCATTGTTTAGATATTAACATAACTTTAGATAATTCGATAATATCCATTTCTTCCAAGGCAGGTTGACATTTTTTAGAATTTTCGTATAAATATTGAGACATTTTTTGAAATCCTTCCTCCGCATTTTGTAATTCATTTTCTGGAAAGAATTCTTTATCTTTCTATTAAATGTATTAGAAAATTTTAGATAAACGAGTATATCATTAAAAGCTTTTTCAACTAATTGTGTTTGATTGATTAAAGATATATTAGCCAGAGTTTCATAACAATATGAAAAGCCTTTTATTATAAGAACATGAACACTATTATATATTTCTGTTACTTCGGGGATATAGGTACCGAGAGATTCTTCATACATAGAAATTTTTTTGATAATAGAAACAGCGGATTGTATATCTTGCTTATCCAAAGAAGTCTGCACATTCGTTCGATACATATGCAGTTTCTTTAAACTTTGTTCACGTAATTGATTAAAAAGTTCATGCAAACTTTGTTTTCTAAATCGATCAGCTAGTTCTCCTAGTTTTGTGATAGCATGTTCATTTTCGTTCATATTTATAAACAATGCATCGAGATCCTGTTTATGTGCTTTTTCTTCGTCAGTAATTAACTTGCTTAATTCATCGATTTGTAATTTATAATAAGTTTGCAAGTCTTCAGGTAAAAAGTATAATGCATAATTTAATAAACGTATTTTTACACCACGTTCATGCAGAGGCGCATTACGTACTTCATTTATAGCTAAACTAAAGCTTTGTCTAACTTTTCCTAGCATCGAATTATAGGCTTGAGTAAATCTAGCACTACCATGTGATGCGACCATTCTTAGTTTAGCTAAAAGATCTTTAGGCGGATTGACAGAGTAATTATTGACATCTGCAAAGTCACTTCGTTTTAATATTTCACTAACTATACAATTAACTCTCTCTCTTAATTCTTCAGATTTTTCAGTAACACATTTTGATGTGCAATAACCTGCTAATTCACGTTGTACTCGACTAAGATTTTCCATTCCTTGTTCAGCTTCAGAAAAACTATCAGCATCCATAAATGCTCCAATAGAATCAAGTCCTCTTAAGAAAATTCTGAATAAAATTTCATTAATTTCTATATCAAAATTTTGAGGATCATTTCGAGTTCCATCATCAAGTAGATCTACTATACTATGTTTATTTAAAGCAATTCGAATTTTATCAATATTTTCTTTAATTTCTTGTGTTTGAGATCGATTATCTTCTTCTCGTTCGATTTTTCCATCGAGCCAATTTACAATACTCTTAGTATTATTCATCAACTTATTTAAAGAACTCTGTAGATCATGTTGAATTTGACGTTTATCACTTGGATGTAAAGGATCATCATGAATATCTGATAATGCTATGTCTGCATTTGCATAATCTCCTCTTGAAATATAATCTAAAACAGTCCTATACGCTGCTCTACATTCATTCCGTCTCTTTCCTTGATATTGTCTATATACGGTTTCAAATCCATTCACAACAAAGACATCTACACAAAAACGATCAACACAACTTTAATGCATGCGCGATTATTAATTGATCATTTAATTCTTTATATCTTTTATCATCTTCATATGCTTTCATTTTATCATCTAAAGTACGATGATATTTAAGAAATTCTCGATGCCAATGTCCTACTTTCGTAAGTCCATCGATACATTCAAAAACATCTGGAAATCTATTGAGAGATGATAATTCTTGTAAACGCATTTCTAAATCTTGAGAAGATTGAATAGGAGCTCCTTCAACACTATTACTACATACATAAATAAAATTGTTACTTATTTCTTGATTAAGAAAATTGCCGTATTCACTTAAATACTCTCTCAAAGTTTCGATTGTATCAGTTGCACTTTCTTTTACACGACTCTGACCTACTTTTTCGCATTGATTTAGATATATTAACGCATTATTTGCTGTACGACCGTCTAACCTATCACTAAAATGATATAATTGTTTATTTTTTCCACGTTCAACAATAATTCTCGTTTTCTCCTGTATAGTTTCATCAAGTAATTCATTACTATTAATCCATACTTTCGAAGAAAAATTAATCCTTCAGGAGATAATAAATTATTTGTCGTTAATAATAAATCATACTCTCTTTTTATTGATTCAAGACGATGTAAAAGAAGTACTTAATTCTTCATTCTGATTCATTCCATTCTAATTTATTACCATGACTTTTCTGGATTTCTGCAATCTTTTCGTACATAATATCGATACTTGGAAATCCTACTGTTTTTAAATAATTCTCTGCCTGTGCATTTTTGCTTTGAGATACTTTTTCTATGATGCTGGGCAGTTTTCCAGCAACACTTCGATCTGTTTCTGAACTAGATAAATTCATATATTCTTGAACGATTGAATTCAAACTCTCTGACTTAGATTCCATATCATATTGTTGAGTTTCTGCTTCTTGAAGTTCAACTTTTTGCTTAGTTTTTAACTGTTCAATCTCGCGATTTAGTGTAATAATATCTGAATATTCATGTTTTTGTAAAAATATACGAGCTGGATGTAAATTATCACATTCTTTTTTAATTTCTTCCAGATTTTTCAATTCTTGTTTTATTAGGTAAACATCTTTATTCTGTAAATTGAAAGTTTTTTGTATACGATCGAAGGCTGCCTGTGTACATTGTAAAAATCGTTGGAGTACATTTTTTCTATGCTTTTCAAGTTCTGGAACACTACGCTCTAAATCACGCATTGATTCGATTTTTTCAACAATCACTTGCGCAACAGAAACATTATGTGGATTTTTCAAACTATAATCTACTTTTATTAAGCGATCTTCCAATTGACAAGCATGTTGAACTAACTCTTCTATAATACGACGCATTAAAGCATCATACGTTCCTGGACTAACACGATTAATCCATTCCGCATTTTTCAAACACAACAATGACTGCGCAAGATGTCTATAATTAATAGTTCTGGCCTGGTGATCTATATTAAATAATAGTTGTTCTGCTTCTATTTGCAATTCCTGCATATAACCACGTATATTTTCAACAGTACGATAATATGTTCCAGCAGTCTTTGATTCTAGTTCTGGAATGGTACGAATAGCATCCATATCATCGACTAATTTCTGTATATCTTCTAAAGCAAGATCTCTACTTCTTTTAAAAAGTTCTTCAATTTTAACATTAATTTCACCAAAATATTTTATAATTTTTATAATAAAATTATTATAAATCTCATTCAAATCAGTAAAGGTTTCTTGCGAATCCAATTTACACTATATTGATTTAAGTCTGTGACTTTCTTTTTCAACATATCAATATACGTGAAAACACGATCTTGAAGTGGAGAACTGTCTTTAGCTGATCTCAAAATTTCCATGTAAGTTTTAAGAATTTCAATATCATCATTACTTGATCTAACCTTTTGTAAAAGAGGATCTGCGTTTTCAGAAAAATTACTTAAATGTTGCAAAAGATATTCGACAGTATTGTGATATGTCTCTTCAACTTGTTCACCTAAATGGTCTTTCAGGACATACGAAGATTTAGATATATTAAGAATAATATCGGCAATTTGTTTGAAATCATTCGTTGGAATAAGTTCGCGCGCACATTGTACTAATAAATCAAAACGGTTTTCAAACTTTTAACAACTATTACGATAGAACATTTCAAGTTCTTTAAATGAGTTTTTAAGCATGTAAAGATTATTCAAATATATTCCAACTAAAGGATTAAACAAATTTTCTTCAGTCAAAACTCGACTTCTTTCATGTAATTCGGAAATGATATTTTGCAACAATGTTTCAGGTGATAATAAATATGATCCTAAATATTCTTTTAAAATTTGAATTTGTTGAAAATGTTCAGCAGAAATTTTATAATCACGAATATCATCTTCTCCTAATCCATCTTGACTAGCTAAAGTACGATTAAATTTTTTCTTTATTTTTGTACAAAATTCATTAATATTTTCACTTATGAAACGAATGGAACTTTCATAAGTATCTCGAACAAAACTTTGCTTTATTAAATCTTGTAATATTTTCAAATCATTTAAGTAATACATAACAAGTTCACAATTCTTATGTTTCATTGCACAAATAATATTAAATTTATCTCTTTGAACATGATTATCAATACTAGCTCGTGTTTCTTCGCTCATAGAAACTTGAAAAACATCTTCTGGATATTGAATACCGTTTAAACGTTTTAATTTTTTCATTAATATTTTTGGATCACTACGAACAGGATCAATTCGATAGGTATTTTCTTCGGTTTTCTCGATCATATCTTTTAATACGGTGACAAATGCAATATCCGAGCGCAAAAATTGATCACTCTCTACTTTCGAACGTTGAATATCCGTTAATATAGCATTAATATCTTTATTATCCGGATATTGTGTGAATGCATAAATAATTGCATCAAGTCTGTCTTCTATTTTATGTATCATTTTTATCAATATATGAGCCAATTTCTGGATTCCTTCACCTCTCTTTCCTAAATTCTGAAAATTTGATAAAGCAAGTAACCTGACACTTTGAGCTCCTTTAAGAGCTTCAATAACTCCAACACTATTGGCAATATCTACTTCTGCACCTGCAGTATCAGCAAATCCGGGTGCATCACATAAAACAATCACACCACTCTCATGACTACCAAGAATATCCTTCAGCTGTACTGTAACTGGTGCAATATACCGCGTTTCTGACTTATGCAATGGACTACTTGTCACATTGTTTAATCCAGGATTCTTATTAGGTCCAACTGCTGTAACATGTTGCAAAAATTTGCCGGGTTTAATTTCTACTTCAATCTCATTCATCTCAGAACCTGCGAGGAAATGAATCATAGTAGATTTTCCACTACCAGTCTCACCTAATAATAATACTATCTCTTTATCACGAATTAATACAGCAGCATTTTCTGTTTTAGAGACAAGTCGTTGAATCAATGGTATATTCAATGGTCTGATTTTTTTTAGAATTTCGTACAGAATATCTACTAAACTTGAGTTGTTACCACTATTTATGGCTTAGTTTAAATTTTGAAGACTAGTTTGAATCTCTTCTGAAAGTAAATCTTGATGTTTAATCTGAACATTCAATTTACTGAACATTTCAATTATTGAATTTTGCTCTGTGAATACCGATTATCTTCTAATAATTTTTGTTCAAAATGCTCTAGAAGTATCATGATGGTTTTTTCAGCACAAAATGGCATAGTAGCGGAATCCTCGCGCAATTCGTTCAGATGTAAAAGTTTTTTATTTTTCTCAAGTGTAACTGCGTTACTTGAACCTATGCGATCTTGTCTGTCAGTTCTATTCCGATTGGGCTCGTCATCTCTACTGGAAATGCTCGAGACGGATTTAGGATCAATTATTTTCGAAATTTTTTGTAATTTCTGAAGGTTATACAAATAATTCTTTGCTTTCTCAGCATCATCTCTTCTTCCCCCCTCTTCAAATTGAATGTTTAGTTTTTCGGGACCGTCCTTCAATTGTTGTTCTAGTTCAACAAGATTATAATCATTACCTTCTGTTGGCATGGATGTGGTAGGTGTTCGAATGGTGCTGTCGTTTTGCAGCGAGTGCATTGATTTTGATTCAGTTGAATATGTGCTTAATTCATTTCCGTCCAGAATATTGCCATATGGTTGACGCTTGTCTTGATGAATGTCATCTGAACGTTGATCGTTTTCAATTGCAGTTAATAAATTTTTAATGGTTAATTCTGCACTATGTTTTCGGTCATTATTCTTTAATAAATCCTTTGTCTGAAGTACAACAGATGAATAAACTTTATCTAATTGCCTTTGTAATCTATCTGGAATGAAATTAGACCCATAGACTGGATCAATATATTCGGCTCGTATAATTTGTTTGCTCGTTTGAAATTCGATTAAAATACCAATCTAGTGGGAATTTGCCAAAAGATATGGAATTAAAATAATACGTTTTTCAGTAATATATTTGCTTTCATTTCTTAGCTCTTGTTCGAATTGAGATTCGACATTATCATCAATAGCAGGTAGTACATAAATTGGTTTTGAACATTTTTCAGATAATTGTTCCAATTGATCTCTTAAAACTTCCTGGATATTATTAAGATTATATTCAATATTTTCCGTGTCTTCAGAATATGCCATTCGTTAAGATATTCACTTATTCGTATAAAATATATCACAATGAAGATTCATGTCAGTTTCTAAATAACAAATATTCAAATAGATATTATACCATAACTTTTCGTAATTTTGTCAAAATATACATAAGACTTAGGGCATACCAAAAGTAAGGATACCGTCGCTTTAATACTTCGTAGAAAGCTGGAAAAAATTTTCTCTCGCAAAGTGCTCTATAATTCTATCGTATTTCAGCGTTCTTCCATTGATATCATCCTATTGAGAGGACAGCAAAAGCAGTGACTATTCAACGAAAAAAAATATTCATGATGTCTCAAGGTGTTTGCAATATTTTTCAGCCTTAGCAAATGATAAAATCTTGATTTTTTTTCTGAAAAGATGCGCCTTGAAAAGCTTTATCAAATCTGTGCGAATAAATTCCTATTGACTTGTTCTAATAATTATTACCATACTTAACATGAAAAAGTTCTATGACTGTGCTTACTCTAAATACTTTTCTTGTGCTCAATACAGCGAAAAAATGTCGCAAACACTGAGCATCCCGTTAATTTTTTTCCCGTCGAGTCGCTTCTACTTTTGCTGTGCTCTCAATATTATGATTTCAACTGAAGAACGATAAAATACGGTAGAATTATAGAGCATTTTTTGGACTATCAATGTATATATATATAAAGAAAATTTCCTCGAGTTTCTACGAAGTATTATAGTTATTATAGTGACGGCATCATTACGATTGATATTCCTTAAGGACTGAATGTCTTTCGACCACACTCATTATGGATGTTGGGTTTTCCTTTATTCTAATACATGTTTTCCTCGATCTCACAGCGATGTCACATATTCAGAATATCGAGAATGCTGGATATTCAGAGAGAGATGCGGGATATATCAAATCTACAGAAAAACTTTTTCACACATTCTACGACTGCTATAGGCTTATCAAATTTCTTAGTAAATCTCTTCAAGAGATTCGACTGAGCTGTAATGACACGATATCAGCGATAGTCTTTGTCTAGATTTGGCATCTCCCGCATTCCCGAGATCCTGGATATGTGACACATCTCGTAAGTTAATACGAGATAAAAATATACCAGAAACTTTTATCTAGTAAAAATCTTTATTGTAACAAGATAAATAACGAATCAATCGTTCATTTGCATTACGTACAGTGTGAATAGACAAATCGGTAACAAATTGTTTATTGAAATAAGACGAAAATAGTTCGAGAGTCAACAAGTGTATGTTATCTGAAATAGAAACAAACATATGAAAACAATGGACTTTTAAGTCATCCTCTCGTAAGTAAGGTAATTATAATGGCTTCAAAAGAAGTAAGATGCTGCTAAGACAAGGTTTCGACGCTTTTTGGATTTGGTTCTTTTATACATCATTCGATAGAGAAAAGCGCGCTGATTACGAATATGTGATCCCGATCGTTTTTCGAAGTTGCTTTCGAGGTGAAAAAACCGAAAAACTGAGAGGGACTGGAGACCTCAAAAACGGTAGTCTAGCAGTATTTAATCAATAACTTCTCACCACAACGTCATAGAGAGGTGCGGTTTCGATATTCGGATTCAGCAGCCAAAACTGGATCGAATGAAGTCTGAATCTGAACGGAAATTTTTCACATCGGAAATCGTAACACATATATTTTTTCTCCACTTATTGACTGGAGTTCTGTTATCAAACCCGCAGAAGTCTCTACGGTTTATATCTTTACCGATACCTTTTCTTTTTTCTGTTAGGGTGACCCGATAATTCTAATGTCTTGAAATTTTTACTAGAGCCTGAATATTGAAAACGAAAATTGGTGCATTTTTGTCAGACTCTTTCGATATAGTTTTGAATGTGTCCAGAATAACAGCATTTTTCATTCTATTCTCTTATGAGCTATTGCACATAGTCATCGCTTACATGAGCGATGACTAATTGCTACATAAAAGCTGCTCAGTCGACTTTCTCCAAACTTAATTTCAATTACATGGTTAGAAAACACAGCTTATTTCTAGTAACTGATCCTAATTCAATCGAAAAAATGTCAACTTGTTTTAAAAGTTGAATATCTTAATAGCGATTTGACATGGAGAGTTGTGATTTTCGGCCAAAAACTAGAAATAAGCTGTGCTTTCTAACCATGGAGTTAAAATTAAGTTTGGAGAGAGTCGATTGAGCACGGTTGGTCGTGACTTATCTGCAATTGCTCTTATGGCACACTAGATGCTTTTTGAGACAATTTTTTCCAGCTTTAATCAAAACCCAAGAGTAAATGAATTGAGAATCCAGCGATGCAGACCGATCAAATGACTGAATTCAGCCTCTCATCTAAGAATAATTCAATTTAAGTCATTTCGATCTACAACAATTTTTATAGAAAAAAAAGTTGAATTCATAAACTTACAGGATGAAACACATGTAGATACCAGCCATATTTGCATTCTTGTAATGGAATTTGTGCTTGAATTGTTTGTTTTAACTTGCTGACAACTTTAAATTGTGGCAAACTTCGGTCCAGCTTCCGTGCAAGTTCGATTAATGAAACCTATACGATTACTAGTTTACAATGATAGCAAAGAAAATTTTTTTCTAATGAACGCTTACATAAGCCCTATTAGTAATTGAAAATTGCGTTTTCCAACTTAATGTCATTTTTGCAAATGTATTTGATAGTTGTATCACCAAACTTTCCTTATTGCTTAAATAGTCTTCATCATATTTACTTTCATCTTCTGAGTCTGAAAAATCGGCGGAATCACTAACATATTTTCTCAGAGTTGATGTTGAAGCTCCTGCTGTTTTTGTAGCTGTTTTCTGTTTGTTGTTGACATTTGCATTTGCAGTGCCTTTTTGTTGTGCGTCGTTATGATCACGTGGATCAAAGTTACTTTGGTATGCAATAAGCTTAGTAGCTGGATTGTAAATAATTTTTAAATTGTTATCAGAGGATGAAACACGTGGGGATAAAGGAGAGGGAGAAGATGCAGCATTGAAATGAACGGTTGGAATACGGGGTCGTAGATTTGTATTCTAGAAATATTGTGCGAACATTATTTAGACAAAGAATTCAATATCGTCCGCATAGAAATGGTCATCCGAGCCGTGAAAAACTACGTTGGGGGTGTCAGAAATGTAAATAATATAAGTCGGAGCCGACAAGATCTAACCTTGGAGTAGACCCCACTCGAGTAAAAAAACTAATGATTCGAGGTTTCGGAAAGAAATAAAAGCCGTTCGTCCGGTCAGCCAATCTTTCACCCACAGCCAAAGATGGACTGGCACTGAGAGTCTGCTAGTTTGACAAGCAGAGCTGGTTGCCAACCCTTGTCAAGTTATTGTATTTTGCTGATCGTACTTGAACTCCCACCTTGCGTGCGGCGGCTTAAAAAACATGCTACTGTGTCGTGTTTTTCTTTATTTTTTCTATTCGAGAATAGTAGTAGAATTTTTACCGCAGTTTTGTTGGCACAAATCAGAACCTGAATTTTTTGCACATTTTCATTATGATATTTGAAATCAGCGTTGTCGATTACATGTACATGCAGGTTGAATCATTCGGTAACACTATCACATCGGATAAAAGTTAAAATATATATGATGCTATTCAAATCTCAGAAAAGCGTAAGGCGCGGGTAATTCAAAGTTTCAGCAGATGATATATCTGTATGAAGCATACATCAGGCGATAGCCCTTGAAGAGGTGATCCCAAATATCACCTTTGAAAAAATTCTAGTCCTTTCCTTCGTGGAGAAAACCTCGAAATACTTCGTTCTTGTCCAGTTTGCAAAAAATTCGATATTTAACATAAAATTTTGTTTATTTCTTCTCCCTTGCACTTTTAGTGAATAATAATAACATATTCGGATTCCTCACGTCGCAGTGAGTCTAGAAAAGTTACTTAGAGCGTGATCCGATATGACGCATCCACGCTAGAAATTCAGACCCGCCCCGAGTCAACCCAAGTCGGTTTGACGTTCGTGGTAAAGACATCAAGTCTGTGGTCTTTATAGGTATAGTCTTCATCCATATCTCATTCGAATCGCCCTTTGACGGGCTACAAAAGTTGCTATTACTTTTGCTAACTTTCACCTCGTTGCTGAGAAATACCATCAACAACAAGGACGAAGCGAGTAAAGGTGTGAAACAGTTGAAGAACAGAATATCGAATTAATCACGAATTCTATGATCAAATCTTGATAAAATGAGATGAATACAGGTAAAAAAACATGTAGAATCCAATGCAATTGGTTTTAGAATTGTTCAAGATCTTCAAAGGATCTTCAGAGGATCTTTGGAGGGTCTTCGGTAGGTATTTCCGTATTTGTACTAAGTTTTGACACAAATATACCTCGTGCTTGACTACAGGTTCTAGAATAGAGCTCCATTTTTGTCTGTCGTTATGAGTGGTTGTAGAAAAGCAGCAATTACTTGACTTATGAGTCAAGTTCTGAGAATTTTAGTTTTTTCGATCGTTTCTGAGTTTTTTGACTTCCTACGTTTTCTCGTACTATT